GCCTTTATTTTCTAAAAGGAAACATTTTTATCAGTAAATGGGATTTGCATTTCTGAATTTATATACAATGACACCTATATATATTACAGCCAGTACCAAAGAAGAGTTGAATGTAGATAACTGATGTGTTATGGAGAAAACATACACAAATCTGAAGTGCACAAAATACTTTGTCTATCAGGAATCGTTAGGACTAGAGGTCTGGTTTAATTTAATGCTCAAAATGATAAAAAGCCTTATTCAATATTTTTTAAAATATTAAATTTTATTGTAATTACCTAGTATTGAAATTTGATATTTTAATGTATTTCATTGAAAATGTTACAAAAAGAGAGCCCTAATTTTAATATTTTTGAAATGATTTCTTATTTTGATCACAACTTAATCATTTTCCTTAAGAAATGATTAAGAAAGCCTGACTTTTTAAAAAAATTACTCTAGTTTTAAACCAACTTAATTGATTAACAAAATCAGGCAACTAGAGGTATATTTTATTATCTTTCTCTATTGGCATAACACCTGTTAAACAAGCAAAACATAACAGTTGTAAAAACAATCATTATATAGTTTATAAAAGAAAAAATAGCCAGAGGTATATGTCCTTTAATGTTGATTATGTTAAAGCAATGTCTAACAATATCTATCTGAATATACAATTAGGTAACAAACAAATTAAGGCATAAGACAATGACTTACTAATGGTTTCTTTTAAACACAAATTATGGCATGTTTCTACAATTTTTGTTTCTTCTTTTTTATTTTTTGTTCATTCAATACAAAATAAAAAATCTCCCATCATGTTTGTGTTATTACAGAGAGTATACTGTGTAGGCTTTTCTTTGTCAGCTTACTACATTTACAAAGGTTATAGTTTTTTAATAATAGTTTGAGAAAACACAATATTTAATCTTTCTGATCATAAATTTAAATGTAATTGAGTTGTAATTGTCAATTACAGACAATTTTGGCTATGTAATTCATTCCTTTCAATTACATGTTATTGAGAAAATACATTCAATTACATGAGAAATTGTAATTATTACTGTCAATTAGAATTACATATTTCAATTACCTCATGTCATCTAATATCCTGCTTCTGTTGGAAATACATGTAATAACAAAACTGCAGTGTATGAAAATCATTTGTATGTACTCAATCAGTTAGCATCAGTTCGTGTTTTGTAAAAACAATAACTACTTTTCTTGTACCCCTCTGTAATGTTTTCAAAAATATTGCTGTAATTATCCAGTTTATAATTTACTTTTAATCATGAAAATGACCATTATATCTCGCTAGAAATACATGCAAACAAACATGAATATTTGTATGAATTATTAAGCACGATGTTGATCATTATTCATTTTTGTTAATTTTTATATGCAATAATCTCTTTAAAATATGAATTATATAAAAACAGTATTTTTTATTTCATATCATCTCAGTCTTATTTCTAGTGACGTCCATGTCATTGTATACACATCGAAGTTGTTTACTACACTTTGTGTACATTTATGTATTGAATAGTTTTCGGTGTTGACATGAATATCAATTATATTGTCATTTTAATAAATTTCCTGTTGACAGAACTTTAAATGTTTCGAAAAACTAAGGATTTTCTTATCCCAGGAATAGATTACTTTTGCCGTATTTGGCACAACATTTTGGAATTTTGGGTCCTCAACGCCCTTCGACTATGTACTTGTTTGGCTTTATAACTATTTTGATCTGAGCGTCACTGATGAGTCTTATGTAGACGAAACGCGCGTCGGGCGTATTAAATCATAATCCTGGTACCTTTGATAACTTTTTTGCTAATTTTCATTAGTGTTAATTTTCAGCAGCATAGCCGAAGGACATATTGTATTACTCAGTTCGGAAGGATTTTACTCGTCAGATCGGTACAAAGATTAAATGCAATTGACAAACGATACAAGACACAACATACCGATAAAAAGTATTCGCACATAGCTAAATTCCGCATTTCAACTAATAAATAAACCACGTTCTACAAGACTAAAACAACAATCAGTACACATCCAACGGATTACGTGCATACGATTGCATAGCACATTTAGAAAAGCATAAAACTGTACAATGACAAAATATAAGTGTCAACAGCATGTATTAGTGTTATTACCTGGGTAATGTATCATGCATATTGAAAATGAAGACATCATTTTATGGACTTGCTTTTACAAAATTTTCGGATGATAAAACGTAGTTGATATGCAGCGCCATTTTAAATCAAGAATATCCATTTCAAACAATTTTCTCTTTTTTTTAGTTAATAATTAATGAGAAGCTAAAGTTATTTAATATTCAATTGATAAAAACCAGTAAAAACAACCTTGCCATATTATTGACACTTAAAGCATATGCAATACTAATGTAGTTACTATTTTAAGACCGCTTAAATAACAAAACAAATGATATTCCAACCAGATCATTTGAGTCTTTGACAATATATTTTTCTACTCATAGTTCTTACAAATGAGCCGCATATATATACCAACAATAAAACGCCAATGCACTCAAATTTAAGAGGTATTATCAATTCTGAAAGAACGTTAACAGAGAAACAGTTATCTTATCTTTGCCCAAGGGGTATGATATGAAGAAATGTAACAGTTTAATCGCTTTTGTATTTTTGGTCAGTTCAACAAACAGTGGTTATGTAAGTAACAGTAATATGTGATGCAGATGTTTGTGTTCAAATAATGTGATACTGGAATAATCTTCGTCGAGTATATGATTAGGACCATCAGTTTGGGAATCCAAATCAAGTAAAATAACCATGTGGTCCCATGGAATCAAAAGAAGGGTCATAAATCAACTTTTTCAAAAGAAACTTCAAAAAAGTTTATAATCCGAAAATTTATTGAAAATGTATTACTTTCAATGTGCCAATTTAAGCGACCGAGCGGATGGTACCACCTGGAACAAAATACTTTCCTGTTGCAAATATATTTGTAAACCATCGCTAACTATGCGTTCTGTAATGTTCTTTGAACAGGAAAAAAACTACTTTAAATTGTTTATCAGTATAATTCAATTAGTTGTTATTAATAAAACTGAATTATCTTAAAATGAATATACTGAATATGAATTACCCATAGTAACACAAACAATTTAATTCAATTCTATTGACTTGGTTTTTTGATAATAAAGTGAGGAAGTAAGAATAATGTCCTTATTTTCAAACTAACCTTGACTTTTGCGCATTTTGATTGGTTTGTGGTCAACAATTAGTGAACGTATATGTTGTTCTCATAGAATATAGATGTCAAAAAGGGATCGCAACTTCAAAACTGAATTCCTCGTGCTGATTGAGTGCCATGCTCTCTGCACGTTAACACACCTTTGCAAGAATTTTTTAAGGGCCATTAGATGGCCTGTTACACGGCGATATTTCTACCAATATTTAACATATCATCATTTGTAAATGGCAGTTCTTATTTCCCATCATTCACCCCTCTCCGCGTACCTTGCAGAACTTAAATTGTGTTTTTGTTATTTATATGTTCTCGTTCTGAATATGTAATTGCGTGACTTTATACTGAAACTCGAATGAAATATAATAGTATGTTGCATATAAAATAAGGAGAAGTGGTTGGATTGCCAATGAGACAACTATGCAACAGAGTTCAAATGAAGTGAATGTTAGCGATTATAAGCGAACGTACGTCTTTCAATAATTAGAAAAACGCATATATTCGTCTGTGCATTTACTTCCAAAGACAATACAACCAAGATCTAAATTTGATCTGCAGTTCAGGTCATAATCTGCACAATTTATTTAAACCTTGAGCAATGACAAGTCTGTTTATGCTTGTGTTTTTGTTAAAATATTTGGCAGCTATATATCTCACTTTTTTAATACTTTCTTTAATTTAGCTGTTTTATGTCTTTTATAGAAGACAAAGATCTAACATTTTTGATCGGCATTTCAAGTCAATATCTACGCCATTCTCTTATACCTTGAACCTTGACATAGTTTTTATACGTTTGTTATTTATTTACAAAATTTTACAGATATAGCCCTTTTTGATATTTTCATTGCTTCAGCTGTGTAGGCATTCCGTTTAAAAGTCAGAAATTAATATCGAACACTTTAATTTGGTTCGTGACATTTATATTGATTCAAATTTTTGGCAGTGAACAATTACACTAAAATTTGGAGATTCGTTAAGAAGCTCTCATTTTGAATGAACAACACAAGGGCAAGAAAAATCTTTCTTTCAGACGAATTGAGTAATTTTACGAATCGATCCATGGTTTACGTATAAGCGGGGCTGCTTTTTCCTTCATAGCTCTCAATTGATATCATTAGGATTTAAAATTAAAATAAGATTTAATTACAGAAATACAATAGGTTTCAAGGGAAATAATTGCTGTACGACAATCATCCGTAAAAATGTTTAGAAGTTTGAAAATCACCAAGTAAACAAATTTGATATTTCAACTGCTTTTCTATTGATCTGTTGATGAGAAAGTTTTTTTGTTGTTTGATATACTAGAAATTGGTCTTCATTGTATGACGAACACGACTCTAATTGGTTCTTATTTAAAATTACACGGTTACACAAATACATTTAAATGTTTATGTAGGAGGTATATATACAAATACTTGAACCACGTTCAACAGTTCAAATTTTCCATCGATTCGTCTGAATAACTACCTCGATTGAAAGGTCTGAACTGTCCCAAAACTAACATATATCTAGTCCATTGAATCTTGTATTGTGCTTTAGATCAACGAGGCGGTTCTCCGCTTATTAATTTGCATGCCTGAGGTCGTGACGTGGGAAAATTCAAGGCGTTAGAGAATTCACACGTATCAAAAGAATGAAATTGATATACATTTAACGAAAAGGTATGCATTTGTAGATCTGTGGTTCAAATTTTCAAAAATCAAATGCAAAATATAATCAGGTAGTTTTTTTTACCGGATATAGAAATATGACAAAGTTAGCAAGGACATAATCTTTAGTGACAACAATAAATGTTAATGACTTTAATATAAAAGTACCAATGTAATAGAAACACTTATAAGGAAAAAAACTGAAACAAATATCAGTAGTGCAAAACGATTTTTTTGTCACTACGTAAAAGAAGTTTTTAAAGTTGATATAAGCATGATTTATTGACACCAATAAATGTTATTGCTGCGAATAAAATTGAATTACAACGAAAGCACCAACTATTAGTATTCCGGAAATAACTGAGGAAATAATCATGACTTTTGCCAGACGATTTTTCTTTTTAGCTTCTTCGAAATGTCCCTGTGCTCTTGCATCATTTGCCTGTAAGATAAGATGCAACAGAGTAATTAAAATGAAGGATGATATGATAAAAAAACATTATGTGATCGAAAGAGGGAATTGAACAAATAAAAAAAAAGATATGAAGAGGGATAGTACAAACAATTTTTTTATAAAATAAAAACTACTTGTTTGGTAAAAATTACTGCTTTTAATAAGTTTTAAGAGCTTGTCTCACAGAAAACCATGCAAAAGTGTCCAGGAGTGAATTATGCGGAATCTCTTGAAATTTGGTACACACAACACTTAGGCCATGTCACTATCACTTGCAAAATTTTTTGCTTAAATTTTATCGGATAGAAGAGTTTTACAGCGCCATCTATTTACACCCTTTTTTTACGGGAAAATTTCTAAATTCAAGGTTTTTTATGGATTTTAATCCAACAAATAATCAGTTCTAGCCATGATAAATATCTCTTTTGGCCAATGCATGTGATAAAGCATTATTAAGGAAATAAAATTATGTAAGTAATAAATATATATTTGATTTTTTTTAGTAGGGCCTGTATATTTATTAAACAGGTGTTTGAGGATTTGGCTATTTTACCAAATTTAGGACCTGAAGAAATGCTAAAATAAAGAAAAGGTGAAGCTGTAATTAAAAGATGAATATATCAAAATGAACTACTATGATAGCTTAAAGAAATATAAAAAATCCATCCACGGCAAATATTTAGAAATATATTTATTATATATCACTGTACGGCTATTTTTCATAGTATTTTTATAAAAATTTTCATGTAACAAAATCTTTTTCTTAACACAAAGTCACAAATTAGGGTGCAATTCTTATCAAAATGAGTGATTTTATACTTCAACTGCTGTTTCTTATTAATTCAAAGCAAAATCCTAGTGAAAACGATAATCAAAGTACTAAAAGCTATCATGGAAAGCTCTTTTTTTGCAAATGAAAAAAAAGACGGTTAGATTCAAAATACAGTTTCTCCAATTTGAAACTGCTAATTGCATGTTTTGTCTTTGACCTGTTTCCTTGAGTATATCTGGCACCTGCTTTTATATGTACTTTAATAATCATAATTAAATATAAGCACAGAAATGTGCTGGATCCGCATATTTATTCAAATGTATTAATGTAATGTTGTTGGAAATTTTCCATGCTACTCATGAACATTAATTTGTGTGTGATTATGCCCGTTATTCAATATTTTGGTCCAATAGTACCTGATATGGAGGCTGTAAAATTAGAAAAACACAAATCCTAACATTAGTCAAAATGAAAAGAGCTTGGTTACATGTAGGTCAGGTTTGAAAAGGTGATGACAGAATATTTTTTTATAAATTTTTAACTAAAAAAAACCATCAGAATCTTTTTTTTGCCAGTGTAAATTACACAAAATTTTAGCTTTTTTTGTTTGTTTTTATACAATAAGACACTGAATCCTTTACATTTCTTTTTAATAGCCCATAATGACATTCAAATGATTAATCTTATCATGATTATAGAATTTATAGTTCATAAAATCATTGATACCAGCTGACTTGGCAAAAACTGATCAACTTTCAGCATGTTCAGTTTACAGCAAAAGTAGCCCTATCATTGTCTTTGTACTATTCTATGAATTGTCACTTCCATTCTGGCTTATCATTCTCATTGTTTATTCACAAAAACAAGATCAACACATCTAATATCTACCATGAATAGCATAATTCTTATTTTGAGTAGGTTCTCTCTATCGTCACTTATTCACTTTCATTTTCAGAAACTAACTGTTTGGTGGTTGAGGTCTCTGATTTTTCGTACAGAAAGTATGCTTTGATTCTTTTAGTTTGTTAAGTTGTTAATCGGTTTCCTTTTTAACAAATTATCCAACTTAGGCAACTATTGTAGTTTATGTAATTTGGAGCTTCATTATTTTGATTATGACTAAATACCATGATTATATAAAATACTGAATTTTTCCAGTTCTACACCAGCTTCACAGATATATGTATAAGTAGTTTTGGACTTCCAGTGTTAATCTTAATACTTTTCTCTTACTGCGATGTAGCCTTTCCAACTCCATTTTCTGAATATCTGCTGACATTTTATTCAGTATCTTACGTAACTGCTTAGTTCAATATATCGACCATATCCACACATGAACATTTGCACTTTGAAGCCTGGAAATTCAGTCTTGTCCTATCCTATTAAACATGTACTATAATTTCTATCCCTTTGAAACGTTTTGTACATGTTTTTTCAAGTATGAAATTTCTCCACAACTTCTATCATGATTTATGCAGATCAGGACATGAACAGAAAAAAATTAACATGTGCATCATGCTAAACAGTTAGTAGCTTTGACTGTTGAAATTTCATTCATAGGCGGCTTGTTTTCTTGTACATTGTACATATAAGTTATACTGCTCTAGCAATGAATAGCTTCGGAAGTATGTGCTCACTGAAAAGCCTGGACGACCTGAAACATGAAAAAATTACATTGTTAGATATACAAATATAACCCTTTTGAACAGAAACCAAATTATGACAGAAAAAAACAACATCTTATATATAATAAAAAGCAATTTTAATACAATCGACAATGATGTTGGGTTGCTGTCCCATTGACATATAATCCACATCTCCTTTTACTCATGTGCATGATGTGTGCAAAAAACTGATGTAACTATACATGTACATGTATGTACATACTAATATGATAACTTTAAATTAGATTTTTAAATCCCAACCTTAAAAATACATGTATTCCGGCCCTGAGAACAATTTCGATTTCGCCTGCATGGTTAACATTGTAATGTAAACAGAATTGGTTAATTTAAATTGTAACTTATATGGTCTTGTTATCACTCTCACACGTACAATTCTTTATAAAACTTATAGATTTATATCAGCACTGTCTTGGACAATTATTTTCAAAAGAGTTATGCCATTTTCTTTTACTCATTTTTAAAATAACCAATTTCAATCATGACAATAATTATGAGAGTGAGAGAGTATAGTATCATGCATGGCAATACATAGTCCCCAACCGGTTAAAATTTCATTACACTGGAGCAAAATGCTATACTTAATCTATAACTTGGCATGGTGTATTGTAATAAATATCAAGTCAATATCTACAAGCATGATAAAAAATGTGCGGAAACCTGAACATTCGAGTGAATTTATTAAGTCTATTGACCATAACTCTGGACAAAATCATCGGAACGGAACTAAATTTGAACTTGATCTGTAACTTGTCATGACGAAAATAGATATCAAATATCAAATCAATATGTTCAAGCACAAAGAAAATAAAGTGAGGAAAACTGATTTCCCGAACTGAAGGAATGAGACAGACAAATAGACGGAGTGCAAACCAAAAATTCAATATTACATGATAGAGAGAGTAATTAGTACAAATGTACTAAACATCAAGGTCTCATACCTAAAGTTAATCTCAGTTCAGACGAAAAATTATTTTTATTTAGTTTTACCCTTGTCCATCTGTACGTACGTACAAGGTACGTCCCAAAATTGGTTTCCGTTCTCTTACTTAAGTTTTCCTCAACCAAATGTTATCAAACTTATACACAATGCTTATTACCACAACACACAGATAAAGTTTGAATTTTGGTGGCGTCACTTTAACCGTTCTAGAGTTATGCCCCTTTATAAATGGGAAAATTGCAAAATTTTTCATTTCCGTTCTCTAACTTAAGTTTGCCTCATCCAAATATTATGAAACTTATACACAATGCTTAGAAACACAATACACAGATCAAGTTTGAATTTTGGGGGCGTCACTTTTTTACTGTTCTAGAGTTATGCCCCTTTACAAATGGAAAAACTGCTAAATTTTTCATTTTTTTTCCAAAAATATCAATCTCATTATTCAAGTAATTTTTAAAATTGGAGTTATCTTCCTTTGTCCATGATTATAGTTAAATCAACTACAATCAATGCTTTACACAATACAATGTTTAATTTTGCCTTCCACTGATAAAACACAGATCAAGTTGAATTTGAGTAATGCACTTTAACCATTATTGAGTTATGCCCCTTTATAAATCGAAAAATTGCAAAATTTTTAGTTTCCATTCTGTAACTTAAGTTTGCCCCAACCAAACATTATGAAACCTATATACAATACTCATTACCACAAAACTAAGATCAAGTACAAATATTGTTTCCGTTCTCTAACTTTAGTTTTCCTCGACCAAATGTTATGAAACTTATACATAATGCTTATTACTACATAATACAAATTAAGTACGAAATTCGGTGGTGTCACTTTTACCATTCTTGAGTTATGTCCCTTTATAAAGATAAAAATTGCTGAATTTTTCGTTTCCGTTCTCTAACTTTAGTTTGTCTCAACCAAATGTTATAAAACTTATACACAACCGTTCTAGAGTTATGCGTGTTTACAAATAGAAAAATTGCTGAATTTTTCGTTTCTGTTCTCTACTTAAGTTGACCTCAACCAAATGTTATGAGACTTACACACAATGCTTATTACCACAAAACTCAGATCATGTTCAAATTTGGGTAGCGTCACTTTTACTGTTCTTCAGTTATGTCCCTTTATAACTATATGATATGCAAGCGGGGGCATCGTCTGTGTCCACAGGTGGACACAATCCACATTTATGTTGTATAATGATGGATAATTGTTTTAAACAAAAAGTGTAAATTTTGACAATTGAAAATGAGGGATTATTAGCAGATTGTTATAAAAATAATAAGGAGACGTGGTATGATTGCCAATGAGACAACTATCCACCAAAGTTCAAATGAAGTGCATGTATACACTACATGTAAGCAATAAGAGGTAACCATTTGGCCTTCAACAATGAGAAAAACCCATACTCATATAGAATCGCTGGTTATAAGTCCTCGACTGAAGAATGTCAACTGAGAAAACTAACAGTATATTTTCATATCAAAACAATATACGAAAAACTAATATATATATATGACAGACAAGAACCAACGACAACCACTGTTTCTGTTAAAAGAATTCCCAGTTCATATGAAAGATAACGAACAATATAGAGCTTGACATTGATGAAACATGTACTACATCTGTTATTGTAATCTGCATGTTGATAGATAATACATACGAAGGATATATATATCACCAATGTTTTTAATTTGGGAAAATTTTGTCATTGGGTTGCTGACTTTATTAACACCATTAGTGCCTGTTGCTGTTACAAAATTAAAAGTTCAGTAACTTCTCAATGCCATATCAGATGGACGGATGGACTTACAGACAAATTTATACCATAAGTCCCATAAAAGGGCATATAAAAAAGTATTGCCTATTGGAAATATATGTAAATACATGTATTATTATATACATGTATCTTGCCAAAATTACATTCATGACATTAATATTTATGTACATGTATACATGATAGATATATGTATTTGCCACAAAAAAAGTGACTGCAGGGACTTTCTATACTAACAAAGTATAGACTGTCCCTGGTGACTGTTACCCGGAAAATCCCCCCCCCCCCACCCCCGGAGAGATTTTCTTAATTGGGCTCGTCAAAGACTCTGGACTTGGAATCCTAAACTGTAAAAGGATTACAGCTGCGGTTAAATTTCCTTAAAACTATAGATATTGTATCACAGGCCCCATCCTGTAGCCAGGAATTTCCAAGGGGAGGTTACATTGACTCGCAATACAACCATAACAGAACATCGCCTTACACAGTGCTAATGTGTTTTACGGGGGGCTTCATACTAACCCCTCGAACCCCCTGGTCATGATGGATGTGTATTGGCAGACCCTTCTTTAGTGCTTAATATTATATATGCAGACAATGATTCATTTGTTATATTTACCTGCTGTAGTTTACATGCTGTATGTGTCTGTTCAGTTTTCTGTACGGAAGTCCAAGACCTGCTTTAAACTGGACGTTCGTTGTGGTCATAATAGCAACAGCAAACTAAATTCTTTCTTCACTTCATCCCAACATAATCTCTCTGTGTCAGCTCTACGTTTCTGTAATATCTGACACTCAGTGACAGGACATTTTCGTGCAGAAGCACTGAGCTGACAAAATGTAAGAAAACTCAAGAATTTTCTCTTCATATTGCAACATTGACATCAATACAAAGTGTGATGTATCTTTATGCCACTCAAAGAGCTTAGGTAAGGTCCTACTAACACAAGAAGGTTTAGTTGCTAGTGTCAGGGAGGCCTGCATCTGAGCAGTTACCTTCTTTATAGTCTTATGGAGAACAATTTAAAGGGAGATAACTCTTGATAACAATTATTTAGTGAAAGTTACAATATCTTATTTATTCAGATGTTATACATTTGCAAAGTATCTTATCTGATTAAAATCTTTGAAATGTTCAAAATTGAACATTTAAAATGATAATAACATCATATTTTGTTTGATATATACCCAAAATTGGTTCAGTAAAAAATGTGGGAAAAGGCTTGAGGTGGGGTTTTAGAGTTAAAAATAAGGCTATTTCTACTAATTTGCCATGGGTGGATTTTTTATATTTATTTAATCCAATAAAAAGGTGTGTAAAGAAATTTATTTCATGTATTTATGTGCTCACCTTTTCAAAAACCAGTGACTTGAACTTGGCTAGTAATTGACATATACAAAATAAGGCATTAAAGAGAGCACCCTTTAAGTGTGCAAAAAAATAGAAAATGCTTTATAAATGCATAATTTATGATCTTTTATATATATTTCCACAATATAAATGACTAGAAACCCAATAAAACTAATTTGGTGACTTTTAAAGTACTTTCAACTAAACATATATTTGAAGGATTTTTTAGCTAATTTTATTCAATTATGCAAATTAGCTTGTTACTAAAAATAGACACAATTCAGAGAAGTCTAAAATATATTTTCTGGTTTCCATTGAACCTAAGATATCAAAAAACTTCATTAGCTGGAAAAGTTTTAACTACCCTCCTGGACGATTTTTCAAATTTTGCATGGTTTTCTGTGAGACAAGCTCTTAAGAAAGAGTGAAAAAGAATCCTAAATATTGCAAAAATTTGAAATACAAAACGAACATTCGATTTTGTTGTATGAAGTCAAAATGCAATTTGCAAGAATCCTTATATTGAGTAAAGCGTATAACATTTAGTCAGTTCGGTTAAGAGTGTTTTGAGAAAATATGTTTGATCAAATTGTCCATACCTTAACATATAAATCATTGCTAAACAAGTAAATAGGTTAATCAGTTACTATAAACAAAATATTCCATATCAGAATAAAAAATACTCGCTTAAGGTACTTAAAACTGCATAATTTACTTTTGGTGCGTTACTTGTCGGGTTGTTACAAAATAAATTTCTTACGGATAAATCGTTCATGATGTTGTGTACACCTAAATGAGATAGCAACCATCATCACATTAGCACAAAATTGGAAATTCTAGAGGCCAACTTACTATCATTAATGGATACATGCAACTATAAACAGATGTACCATATGACAAGCTATCAATTGCCATGATACTGTACGTGTACAAAAAAACATGCATATGTTGTCATGGAATATGGACATTGTACTGTCAATGTTTTGTAGAATACTACAGTATATAAACCGTGGTTCAAATTGTTAAGATTTGTTCTGATAACAAAACACTTACACTGTTTGCGAAATACATAGCAATCAATCCTAACGGCCAGCAACAACAAATGCATGCCATCATTGCAGAACACATATAGTCTCTAGGTTCTGATTCATATCCTCTATCAATCTAAAAAAAATAATTTTGATTAGAACAGATTGTTTCTAAATTTGGGGGGGGGGGGGGGGGGGGGTTGGGAGGAGGGGAGGATTTCGACCTTTGCGTAGCAGTGGTGAGCTATCGCTACATAGCAAAATAACAAAAATATACACCCTATTTTTTTTTTTTTTTTTTACAAAGATATACCAATAGCTTTCATGCTTATACATGGAGAGATAAATATATTTGACAAATATCTGATGCATTTACGACTTCGATTTAAGAATTCGCAATCTCATGAGTTTCAGATATTTATGATCCAAATACAACCTTGTCATATATTTTATCTTAATATCACTATCTTATCATATTACGTGCAGCTGAAAGAGGTGACCTATTTCAGCGACTCGTCCCTTCTTCTCATTACATTATAAGTGACCACCCCCTCCCGAGATTTCAACAGATTACTGATTAATCATTGTTGAACTGTTTGGATTTATTTTTACACCACTGTTCCACTGTGTTTTGTACACTTTTGTTTGTCAGTTTTTTTTTTGTTTTTTTTTTTCCTTTTTAGCCATGATGTTGTAAGTTTATTTTCGACTTATGAGTTTGAATGTCCCTTTGGTATCTTTTGCCTGTTTTCAAAACTTGTATTTCTTTCCTAGTAAAAAATAAACAGAACGTTCTTATAAAATTAAGAAATGTGATATGATTAACAATGAGCTACCTTTTTACAAGAAAGTAAAATGACATAGAAGCTAGCAACTTATAATTACCTCCCTTCCAGAATGAATTTGAGTTCTATAATACTGACTCTCGGGTGAAAAATAACGATCAGTATGTTGCAGTTCGTTTACATCCACTAGAACCTGTCTGTCGTTGTATATCTGAGCTATGAAATGACAAAACAATTATAACATCATAACATTTAAGGACGTAGATGAAATCAACTGTTACCATTATCTAAAATAAGTATGACAATAGAAGTTTTATTCATAGTAAGCAAAGAATGCTATAAAATGAATCAAAAAACTAAGTTTGACTGTTCATTTCCGTTTGTAGTATGCTTTAAAAAATAAGATAAAAACAAATATCTAAAATTTGATCTGCTCGACAAGTCAATATTTTCCCAATTCCCTAATACCCTGAACCATGGAATATTTCATAACGCTTGTCATTCGATTATAAAATTCTACAAGTAAGCTCTCATTATTTTCGTTCTTTCTGTATCCCAGCTGTATAGGCATTCAAGTTGAAGATCGAATTAATATTGAAGGTTTTAATTCAAAATTATAAAATTTATTTCTTTTCAGAACTTTCGCGAGTCGTTAGTTTTGTTTTTAAAATTGAATCTTTCTCTAGCCTTTTTACAATAAGCATTTCTTTTGAAAGATAACATGAAGAAAGCAATGTATGTAGCTTGGTCAGTATCTGCTTTTCATCAGGGAATGTTTTTCTTTTCTTCAAAAAGAGTAAAACCCGCATAGATCAATTTTATTCTCATAGTTGTAACTATGAGTTCGTTTAAAGGTTCGAAAATTTGTTAACTACAAAATTTACGAAATGTATATAATAGTATAGGGTATCTATCCATGACACAAATTCAGTACATGAACTCACTAAAAGCAAAGGAACAACGCTTTTATTGCTGTTCTTCAACTCCAAGTCACAAATGTATATAATATTTCGGTTACCCTATTGTTGCCTATCATGCCTATCGCGGTTCTCCTGTTAAAGTACTTTGAAACGCCATACACTGTGAGTGGCATCATGATTATAATAGCGTATATGAAAATGTACTACAAAATAAAGACACAGTAAAATTCGTTAACCACATGTTAATTATGTAATTCTACAAATTGACTGAATTTGAAAGTTTTGTCTCAAAACTCGGATAGCAGCTTAATATGTTTGTAATCAGAAACAAACATTATTAACATGGAAAATTCTAAAAAGACACCGTTGAAAAATACAACACAAGTCTCTTTTAAAACAATGCTACAGGTGATCATTAGTGCTATTGGAGAATTAGTTGTTCCTGCTCTTCTAGGGCCACCAATCCACCGTCTCGTTACAAGAAAGAAATTTGCACAATAGCAAATGAAGACACACTAGAAAATGACTTAAATGAAAATGACGTTCCGTGTGTTTAGAATACTATACACGTAAATCGCTATGAAAATGATTCATGTATAAAAATTACACATTTTTAAGAATTGGTCGACAGTTATTAGATGAGCAGGTGTGACTTTTCCTTTAAAAGCTCTCAATAAACTTTTTTCCGATTGTAAAAGTATCTGTGTATCAAAATTAAATAAATTGCAAGAGAGATAATTGCCGTTTATATAATCATCCGTGTAAATTAAAAAGATATATTTATTGCTGTAGATGCAAATTTCCGTATTCATCTGGTAAACAATTGAGTTTTCTTAACATTTCTTCATTTCTTGTTGTATATTTGCATTTTCTACCCCCCCCCCCAAAAAATATATTTTTTCACTACATATTCTGCAGTTAAACGTGAAAATTATGTTGTTTTTTCAACATTTTGCACTGCCGACACACATATAAAAGCTAGTCTTATATTATTCATATGTCATAAATCATCATTCCTTGCGATATAATAAATTTGTATTGGGGTAAATATCATCGTTTTACATCACAAACGGCCTATCAGCAACTGGAAACCATCTGTCTTATGACTAGATTTCTCCTTTACCGTTAACATTCTATCATACTCAATTTATCTTATTTTCATTGAATATTCCTACCCGCTATTGTTTGTCGATAAACATGTCAGACCATGTATTATGATTGCTGTATTTCACACAGAAATGAAATAAGCTTTATTTAAATAATAAAGCTTGTTGAGTTATGTTGGTATTGGATAATTAAACTATCAGATGAGAAAGGGTATAATATCAATGACATTTGCAGAATACATTAACTTAATAAAATTGTTTTTTTGTATATACAAATTTGGGTTTAACGTCGTTTTCCAGTAATTCTAGTGATTACACTTGTTCAAAACTACACTTTCTCATAGGAATTTGTTTTGCATCTAGAACGGTACTACCTGTTATACACATTTTATTCTCATTTTCAACAACAATTTTCAACAAAATTATTAACATATTTTGCCAATTAATCTTGTTTCATGGTTGATTGATAAGTTCAGCAGATATCCTTTTTCTGTTAAAGATAATAGATTAACAAAATCTAGATATAAAAATTGCATTGTAGATTTCTATGTACTTATTTAGTCATCATCAATTCGTGTATTGAATATAAACATAACAAATTTTGAAGCCATGCACATTGAAGTTAATTACCCTTTGTGAACATTAAGTGTATTTGAAAAAGTTTTGCAGATCAGCTCAAAGAAAAACTGTTAAAATCATCTGGGAAGGGCTTTACTCGGTACAAATACAAACACCAAATAACCTATGACAGAAGACTGCAAAAAACAAATACTCGTAGATAGTTATCCAAGACTTTAATAGCTATCAGTACGCACCCTACGAAAAAGCAAGTGTATACGACGCCATAGAACGTCAAAGAAAGGCATAACCTTGTACTTTGGCAATATATAAATATCGACAGATTATTTTTGTGTGCACATTGAAGATGAAGATATCGTTTTATGGACACATTTGAACCTTTTTACAGAATATTTAGATTTTAAAACTTATTTAATTTCCAACAGCATTATAAATTACGGGTATCTATCTGTAACAAATTTGTTCGTCTTATGAGTTAAAGTCATATGAAACTTCAAATTTAAAAAAAAGGTTGCAGATGTTTTATATACTTAAATGGCTAAGTTTTACTCTTATGGAAGTTCGTGAACTTGTTTTTATTATATTATCAAATCTTCAAAAATGTAACGCAATTGAATTATTGACTTTCCAGACAATAATTCGCCGATATTTGTCCGTATGCAGTGATCCTAAATAAGAAACCTCTCGTTATAACTTCGGCCACCGCACAGCGCCAGAGCAAGGGGGAAAATCGTAATGAAAGAATGTAAAAAACGTGCTCTTGAAGGTAAATAGTAATAACGGATTATTAAAGAACAAATTTATTACAACAATTCATTTAACAACTGTTAAGGGATAGTTTAAATAACAAACGCATGGAAAATATAAATACGAATGTCATGGCTCTTTTAATTCATTTATCTGTCACGTTTTCCACATGCTCTGTTTTTATTGTTTATCAATGTGACGATCCGGTAAACTTCGGCATCAAACTCGAAAGTTAATTAGCTTAATTATCAACAACCACTGCATAAATTATCATTTGTCGATAATATGTTATAGATGTGTATCAAATATATAAAAAAAACGTGCAAGCAAGACTTAGTTTAGTATATATGCATGACTGGGATCAATAGTTTCGACAACATTACAATTTCAAAAAACTCGTTTCATATGACTTTAATAATTAAAAAGAAACTATAGGTCTTTAATTCTAAAGTGAAAGAAACCAGTTGATATCAATTTTCCCACTATTGATTGCTGAAGTTTATTCGTTAAGTGTGTTGATAATATCTAAGACCGTTCAAATCACAAAACAAATACTTTTGCAACCAGATGATTTGAGTCTTCAACACGTTTTTTTTGTTGTTTTTTTTTTGCCAATGGCTCTTACAAATAAGAAGCATGTATAAATTAACCACAGAGTGCCGACATCAGTCAAACCTTTAACGTATAATCAAAACTGACAAAAAGTAAACAGAGAACATAAAACAATTATTAGTATCTTCGCGTAAGGGAACTGCATGAAGAATAGAGTTAAAACCTTGTAGATCATAATAGAAATTAACCATTTCAATTGTTTATGTATAGGCAGTGTTAACGTTAGTAACATAAACATGTGATGTGTATGTCGGTGTCCTAATAATGTGATGCGTGTCGGTGTTCTAATAATGCGATGCGTACATCAGTGTTCTGATAATGTGATGCGTATGTCGTTGTTCTAATACTGTGATGCTTATGACGTTGTTCTAATGGTGCGATGCGCCTGCCAGTGTTCTAATAATATGATGTGTATGTCAGTGTTCTTATAATAGGATGCATATGTCAGTGTTCTCATAATGTGATGCATACGTCGGTGTTCTCAAAATGTGATGCGTATGTGAGTGTTCTTATAATGTGATGCGTACGTCGGTGTTCAAATAATGTAATGCGTATGTCTTTGTTCTAATAATGTGATCTGTATGTCGTTGTTTTAATAATTGATGCGTATGTCGGTGTTCTAATGATCTAATGCGTATGTCGGTGTTCTAATAATGTGATGTGTATGTCGGTATTCTGAATATTGTGATAAAATCTATGACATCACTACACACACGGGCATAACGAACGAGTTGGTATATATATACATGATGGAGCCAAAGGAACATCGCCGTCTAAAAAAGGAAAATTATCAATAGGGAATGAAAATTGTCTCTTTGTCGTAAATTTTAGTATAGAGTTTCCCTTTAGAAATTGAAATGTCTAAATCTAGAAAAGGCAAACTTTTGCTGTTAATGTTAGATTTATTTAAAATAAGTTCCTTTGGGTATATTTCGGTTGTATATTTAGAAAACTCTGGATTATCTAACGAAAAAATATCATCAAGATAACGGTAGGTATTGTTGAATGTATCAACCAAATGTAACAATGACGTGTCTTTACTGAGTTTGGTCATAAACTGAGATTCATAGCAATACAGGAATACATCTGCTTTTAAAGTGGCGCAGTTAGTGCCCATTAGGAATTATTTCTACCTGTCGATACACTTTATCGCCAAAGCGTACATATGTTTTCCGGGAGAAAATTTAAAGCTTCAATCATATCTTCACATTTCCAGTAAGTGTATCTAGCATACTTTCCTTTTTTCGTCACAGAAACTGCGTATTTCAGTGTTCTAGTAATGGGATATTGAAATAAACTAAATCGAGTATATGATAGGAACCAAATATTTAGGAATCCAAGTACAATAACTGTGTGGTCGCGGGAAAACAAAAGAAGTCAAATAAGTCTATAGCCATTTTTTCTGAAGAAATTATAAATCAGTATCATTACAATTTCGTAGTTGATAAACTGAAATTTTATTGAAAATGTATTACTTTCAATATGCCAATTACAACACTAGCCATCGGGCCGACACCACCTGTTGATATCTAAAAATCGTTAATATATAAACAATCTCTGCACTCTGTAATGAACTTTTAAAAGGAAAAACAAAGTAAAATGATAAACTTCTTTTAAGTTGTTTATCAGTAGAATTCAATTACTGGTTATTATTAAAATAATTAGGACTGAATAATCTTAAAATGAATATACATATACAAAAAATTTTATACTTACCCATTGTATCACACTCAACTCAATCCAATCCTGTTGAATTGTTTTTGTTTTGATATTCAAGTTTGTTTTTGTTTTGATATTCAAGTGAGAAAACAAGAATGATTTCCTTATTTTTTATAAATAACCTTGACTTTTCGACATTTTGATTGTTTTAGCTTCAACAATTAATGAACGGATATGTTGTTCTAATTTAAAAAAGATGTAAGGCGTCAAATCGGGTTTAAATCTGAATTCCTCGTGATGAGTGAGTATCATGCTGTATGCACGATAAAACACCTTGCAACAAATATCTAAGGGTCATGAGATGGCCTGCTACTTGGCAAAGTTCATACCCTTATCCAACATATCGTCATTTGTCAGTGGTAATTCTAATTTCACACCATACATTTCACTCGACCTACTTTGCAGAACTCACATTGTGTATTTATTGTTAGTATGTTCTCGTCCAGAATATATATATTTTAGTGACTTGATAATGAATCCCGGATGAGATATAAACGTCAGTATGTTGCATATAGAAATAACGATGATTGTCAATGCGATCCACCAGAGTTCAAATGAAGTGAAAGTAAGAAAAAATAGGCAACTGTACGACCTTCAATATTGATAAAACCCAATAGCGTATAGTCGGTAGTTCATTTACTTCCAACGACAATAAAACAAGGCTCTGAAATTTAATATTCAGTTCATGTCATAATCTGCACCATTCCTTTATACCTGGAACCATGGCATGTTGATTTACGCTTTTTATTTGGTAATAGAATTTCGCAGATATAGTTTTCTGTTTTTATAATTTCTTTATTTTAGCTGTTTGATGTCTTTAATAATAGATAAAAACAAAGATCTAAAATTTGATCTCCACTTCAATTCAATATCTGCGCCATTCACTTATACCTTGAACCTTAGCATATATGTTTTACGTTTGTTATTGGTTTACAAAATTTCACAAATATAGTCCTCACTATTTATATTTTCTTTGTTTTAGCTGCGTATGTATTCAATTTGAAGGTCTGAAAATTGCATCGAACACCTTAATTTTAAATCGTAACATTTATTTGGTTCAAACCTTTGACGGTGAATGATTATAATAAAATTTCGAGATTTGTTAAGAAGTACCCAGTTTGATTATTAATACTAATGTGCTTATCGAGGCTTTTGACATTGAGTTTTTTTTTTGCGAAACTTTACCACGAAAAGCGAACTGCACGTTATTTGTTCGGTATTTTCTTTTCATTTGAGAACAATTTTTTTTCAAAAAAGGAAAAAAAAACTTGCATACTAAAGTAGATCAATTTTATTTAAGCAGTGTAACATTACATAAGCGTCTGTATTTAAAGTATATATATGTGTCTTGATACCAGCTTTCGTTTTCTATCATGATTTCCTTAAAAGAGGGTTGGTGCTTACACGGAAGCTATTGAGCCAAGAGTTATAGGTAGTAAAGATGAAGTATTCACTTCGAAAGCTTTGTGATATCACCAAATGAGACGTATAACCGATTTTTTGTTTAAAATTAAGCGGTAACATAAATAAATTCGAATGTTTATGTAGGAGGTACAAATCCATGAACCATGTTCAACAGTTCAAAATTTCCATCGCTCATTATACAACTAATTAGATTGTTAGGTCTGAATTGTGAAAAAACAACTCTAAATCTAGTCCATTGAATTTTGTATTGAATTTTGTTTTGTGACTTCTATTAACCAAACGGTTGTCCGCTTATCAATTCTAATGCTTAAGGTCGTGACGTCAGACATTACAAGAAATAAAACAAATCACACACATCAAATGAGTTAAATCTATCTTTTCATATAAAATTTGCATGTGTATAGCTGCAATGCAAATTGTGAAAAAACAAATGCAGAATATAGTTTTGAAGGTTTTTTTAACAGTATTTTTACGGTTTGTTCAGTTTATTTATTGAAAAGCAGCTTATAATTGGTGAATATGTAATATAGTTGCAGTAAACATTGTTGACATGAAAATTGTCCTAATATGTGTATTGCAGTACTTGAATATGCTGGTATTGTATCACTACTTTGAACATTTTAAATAGTATTCACCACATTCAGTATTTTCACTGTTTGTTTGGTTTATTTATTCAAACGCAGCTTTTAATTGAAGGTTAATATTGAAATGAAGTTGCTGTAAACATTGGTTACAAGGACATTGCCTTAATGTGTATTTTGCATTACTTGCTTCTTATGTTCCTTATGTCGTAACTACAATGCCCTCCGTTTTCACGAATGTGAAAAGTAAAATAACAAAAATACTGAAATCCGAGGATAATTCAAAAAGGAAAGTCCCCAATCAAATGGCAAAATCAAAAAAACAAACACATCAAACGAATGGATAACAACTGTCATATTCCTGACTTGGTACAGGCATATTCTTATGTGATTTACCGAATGACTATTTACCGGATTTGTAATAACATAAGCAACACGACGGGTGCCACATGTGGAGCAGGATCTGCTCATCCTTCCGTAGCACCTGAGATCACCCCCAGGTTTTGGTGGGGTTCGTGCTGCTTAGTCTTTGGTTTTCTATGTTGTGTCATCTGTACTATTATTTGTCTGCTTGTCTTTTTATTTTTGGCCATGGCGTTGTCAGTTTGTTTTCGATCTATGAGTTTGACTGTCCCTCTGGTATCTTTCGTCCCTGTTTTATAACTGTTTGAATATTATTTGTCACATTCAGGGTTTTCACTATTTGTTTAGACATATATTGAACCTTAACTAATATAGCTAATACAGCAAGTCGTACAATTTGTTTTAGCCTACATCTCTTTTAAACAGCATTTGTGACTGTGGTTTACCTTATGGGTATGCATTAACTCATATTTTTGCCAAGTGGGTAGCCTTTGTGGAGCAGGAAAGATTTATTTCATTACATCTTTCCTAGTGGTTAAGCTGACCCCTTCCTAGGCCAAGCTATTATATTCTATATTATTGTATTATATTTTAATGACTTTCTTTCATTATTATCTTGCTGTACAAATGTATATGTACAATGTATATATTATTTATTTTCATATCAGATCATTTTTTACTCTGAATAAGTAAAAATTTCGAAATTGACCTTCTTGTTTCTCTTTACATTTATGCATCGTCCAAAAGAATTTAAAATACATGAGCTACTTGCTGACTCATACGAGTGAATGTTAAACCTCTGTTGGTTTGTTTCGGTTGAAGGAGAAAAGCATAAAGGCAAGTGATTTTAATAACTATTTTTATTTTTGTTTTTGGAAATTTACATTTTCATACACAGTTTGAGGCACCCCTGCATTACGATCTTACGGCTGGATGACCATTTGTCAGTTCTACACAATGTATCTTATTACACATTTTTGCTAATCTACAGATCGATATTTTATAAATAAGATTTTTATTTTGGATTTTATAAATTTTCCCTCTATCCATCCCCTTTCACCACCATAAGCTTGTTTTTTTGTTTGTGTGTTTGTTAGATTACCATCTATACTTGTGGTCCATTACAAATGTATTTTTGTAGATATACTCATTTTACGTTCATTTCTGGATGCTTATGTTGCAGGTGTTACATTTAGCATTTCAATATTTGCATATAGCTTAGTTGACCCTTTCCTAGACCAAGCTATTATATTCCATATTTTTGTATTATCGTTTCATGTCTTTTATTCATCATTATCTTATTGTAAAAATGTATATGTACAATGAATATTGTTTAGTTTTATATGAGAACAAATTTTACTCTGAATAAGTAAAAAATTCGCAATTCATCTTGTTTCTCATTTCATTTATGCATTGCCCATTAGAATATTAAATACAAGAGCTACTTGCTGACTTAAACAAGTGAATGTTAAACCTATGTTTTTTTGTTTGGATTGAAGGGGGAAAGCATAAAGAAATATAATAAAGTAAGCATGAAATATTTTTTAGTGACAACAATGCATGTTAATGATTTTAATATAAAAGTACTGTAATAAAAACACCTATAATGAAAACAACTGAAACAAATATCAGCCAAACGACTATTCTGTCAAACTTCTTCTTAATTTCACCGAGCTATTTCTTCATCTGATTGTAAGATACAATTCAGTATAGCAATACAAATTAAAATGATTTATATTGCAGAATATAGTGGAATACTTATTTTTACTATGTAAAGAAACATTTAAAAGTTGATATTAACATGAATTATTGACACCAATATCGGTTATTGCTATGATTATAAAAGAGAAACGATAATAACACCAGCAATTTCGAAAATAACTGAGGGAATAGTGCCAGCCAATTTTTCTTTCTGGCTTCTTCGAAATGTTCATGTGCTCTCGCATCATTTGCCCGTTAAATGTATTCTCGTTTTTTATATAGATTAGACCGTTGGTTTTCCCGTTTGAATGGTTTTACACTAGTAATTTTTTGGGGCCCTTTATAGCTTACTGTTCGGTGATAGCCAAGGCTTCGTGTTGAAGACCGTACTGTGACCTATAATGGTTTACTTTTATAAATTTTGACTTGGATGGAGAGTTGTCTCATTGGCACTCATACCACATCTTCTTATATCTATATAGTAGTTATGATGAAGGATAATATTGCAAAGAAGCATTATGTGAACAAAAGAAGATATTGCACAAATTTATGTTATACAAGTGGTTACCTCAATATCCATGCTCCTTTAGTGATTGTTTACTAAGATGACTATCGGTAAACTTCGGCTTCAAAACACAATTAATTAGCTGCCATATTTTCACATCCAAACAGACGAGTGAAATATTTTTTTGACGATTATACGATATGGATGCGTAAAAAATGATAAAATCGTGCACAGAAGACTAAGTTTATGATATATGCATGCATTGGTTCAAGAATTTGATTAACATTATTTTTCACCAGTCACTCGTTTCATGTAACTTTAAGTTAAAAGGAACCATTGGTTTCACGAAGACCATTGTACTGACGACACACAATAGAAACCTAAACGAGTCCAATATTATTTATATGTTAAAATTCGTCATTTCTCCAATAGAATTATTAACATGAGTATACATTAAATTTGGAACTAAAGGTTTTTCATTTCAAAGATTTCATTAAAGTAAAATATCGTCGTTTTACATCATCCACGTTCAATACTGCAATATAAACAATATATTTCTCAACTACATTGTCTAATATACCATTTATATGCTACCATTCTTTAAATCATTCTGTGCATGGACTTTTCCTACTCGTCATTTTTTGTCAAAAACATGTCATCTACATATATGATTGTTGTATTTCACACAGACATGAAGTCGGCTACATATAAATCATGATGCTTGTTGAGTTATTTTGATATCATATAATTAAACTATCAAAAGTGGAAGGATATAATATTATTTACATACAGGATGCAATAACTAAATACAATTGATTTTATATATGCCATTAAGGTTTTGAACGTCGTTTTCCGGTTATTCTAATTGTTATAATTGTATGGAAATTCACACCTTTAATTTGTCATAGGAATTCGTTTTGCTTCTAGAAATAGCAGGTCTTTCGTTTCTGCGTGTCTGGTAATTCGAGAAATATTTAGATAACTTTCGGTTTAAATGATATCAAAAACAGAGCTGGCATCCCGAAATTGATAATGGCTAGTGCATTTCAACCAAATTATATCTTGAAATATCAGAAAATGAAAAGCAAACAAATGATATATACGTGTGCCATTATATATTTAAATTTAAATTTTATGTAAAACATACAACATTTTCTTATTTTTATATTTAGTGTTCTACACCGCGCGATTCGTAGGCAGATATATAATGGTAAACATTTATGCTTCGGGAAATTTTAACATACATCGATGTATTTAATTGAACACAGAAAGACAGATTCTAAACACATTCTATAGTTTTATACTTTTTTGCATGAATCTTCTACGTTAAAGTTCGTAATAATTGAATTGAATTTTTAATATTTAAGTGACGAAACAAAAATAATTTCCGTATTTTTACAATTACCTTGACCTTTGCAAATTTTTATTGCTTTCAACTTCAACAATTAGTGAACGGATATGTTTGTCTTATTGAATTTAGATATATACCTGTTTTCTTCTCTTTGATCGGGTTGTTGTCTCTTTGACATATTCCCCGTTTCCATTCTCAATTTTATTTCTATATAATCCAATATTTATGTACTCGCTAACTTTAATACACATGAATAATCTTAAACGTTAGCGACCTATTTTCTTACATGTAAGGATAAGTGTGCTAGGTCATATAAAAGGGGATTTCGAACTGACAAAACAACCTCGAACTGAGCATCAGAGAATATAGGTTAATACTTTGACACACATACATATATACCGTTGAAACATATTAATTGTATTGATTTAATGATAATATTACTTCGACTTCCTGAAGATAATTTAGTTATCATTTCGTAAGAAAATACTTGCAAACGTATTTTGCATACATTGAATATCTTAAAACTATAGTTGTGATAAAGATTGAGAACAATCTTCACAGTCATGTTACTCATTGGTTATAATAAATTCGTTAACTAAAAAAAAAACAGACAACAACACTTCACCAAATCAAATACTGAACAACACGTACCCCAAAAAAAAACCCGGCGGTAATCTCAGGTGCTCCAAGAAAGTAGCAAAGCCTGCTCCGCATGTGACTACCTTCGTGCTTCTGTTATAATCAAGGAATCAGGACTTGTTAAAATAATGTTATTTGTTATGGGACTTTCCGTTTTGAATTTTTCTTGGAGGTCGGTATTTTTGTTATTTCACTTTTTCTTAACACATCTACGATATACAGACATTAAATAAAATATAGAAGGTTTCCTGAATAATTTGATATTTTTAGGAATCAAATTCGTAGTGAAAACGTTGTAATGTTAAGGTGCAACTTTCAATACAGGCGTTGTTGAAACGGTGTCAACTACGATCTCTTCTTCGGAAAAAAATGGAACTTCAATTGAAAGCCAAATACCCTAAGGTCAACTTGGCTTGAGGGAGTTGAAATCTAAGTTTCTTAATAACTTCTAAATTCATAAACAGACAGTTTTAGTATTTTTTTTTGGTAAATCATGTCAGTTCTGAAAAATTGACTACTGGGCTGACATAAAATATAATCTTTGCTAGACTGTAGGTGTAAGTATATTCGGACGTTTGATTAATTCAGCAAAGTAGCTTAGTCAGACAAAGACTGAACTATTGGTAGCTTTGTATCTCGAAAAATCACCAAACACTTCTCCATAGTATATCAGACGCAAAAAAAAAATGGCAGGTATGATTAGTGAACAGATGATGGAAAAAATTCCAAAGCAAACTGCTAGTCTTATCCAAGTATAAGCCATCTTATTATATCTTCTTGCTGTATGATAATCACGACGTGCTCTCGCTTTGGATCCCTACAAAAGAAATACTATTAAATGCAATGCAGTAGTTTTTTGAGAGAATTTTTTTATAGCAACAAATGACGAGCATGACAAGATTTATTGCTAATTCAAATGCCTGAAATCTTCAATCGACTCCTGACAGGACGATTTTTATCAATTTATCGATTGTCTTGAAAACCACAAAAAATAAAGAGAGAAACCTAAAATGATCTCTAAGTCAAGATCTTCAATAAGCCACAGGGCCTATAAAGCGCCAGACTATTCATTTTTTTGGAGTTGTTGCTCTTAAATAATGATTTTATACTGCAGCCAGAACACTTCCTGTTGTGTTTGTCTACCAAATATAGTAGCAAAATGATGTTTTGTGCAATGTCGATTTCATGTCACGTCACTTTTCTTCACAATTTAGGGTTCATTTAGGGATCCAAACTTTTTATTTTTCTGTTAAATTTTCATACCTATCATTGTATTCATATATAGCTTCAGTATAAAACAATATTAGGTCAATGTCAGAAAAATATCAATTGTTTTTGTATTCGGCACAAAACAGTGGAAGGGCTCGGTAAGCATCGGTCTTTCCCAAGTTTCTAAGCCTCACACAAAAAAATTTATATTTTTCTGACAGTGACCTAACATTGTATATTTACACAATTTGTTTACGTGTTTTGGCTATTATCTTGAAAACTAAAACAGAGCAACTTCAATCTGCAAATAATATTAGCTAGTCAATTCTACCTGAAATCCGACATCATATAGGAGTTATGTCCATTTAAAGAGGAGGATGTTTACCATTATTTACAATAGCAAAGGAGAGAAACATAGTTCAAAAAGGGTGTTCTAGCATAGAAATTGTTTTCCTTTATTTCTTTGTAAAATCTAAATATTCTTTCTATTTAAGCTTTATCAAAAATAAAGTCAAACACTTTATGAATGAATTCCTATCCATGTTTGATAGCCCTGTAAACAAATCAACTAATTGGTCAAATCATATCAGAAATTTAACATCACCAATTGCAGACTGAAAATCTTTCCTACTATATGTATGATTTTTGAGACAAAAGTGTACGGTTCAGTTCAAGTGTTCTACATTACTTATATAATTAGAAAACCAACCATGGCAAAGAAAATGTTGTATTTCAATGCATCTCAATATCATATTTGTATCAAGAACAATTAATTTTGCAATGAAATAGATAGTTTATTTTACACAACACTGAAAGTCGATGAATTTTTGGTTTATGTACTAGTTAATGTTATTTTTGCGTTTTAAGCTATAATATATGGAAAATTATAATACGAACTGTATTTAGGAAGTTAGATCAACAAACATATCAATATAACTGAAATCATGTTTCTACTGTTTTAATAGATGTAGAGAAACTTTTTCCTGCAAACGTTATCGGCAAGATAATCTTGAAATAAGTCAACAACTGAAATTAACTATGATAAAACTGAATCAGGAATAATAAAAATAATGTAATTTTACCGCGATAGTAAAACATTGTCTACAGTTAATGAATACTCATTGTTGTATTGATTGATGCTTTTATTTGTTTTCTTTAATGAATTTTTTTTTGTCTTCCAATTCTTTTTAATTCAAACGGAATATATTACTTTGTCTGCACTCTACAACTTAAAATCTAAATTTGTAATTTGTGGATAGAACGCAATCTGGACAAAATCGTAAAAAAGGTCCTGATTAAATTAACGTGGAACAATCTTTTTTTCAAAAATTTCATACAATTCATTTAATTCAATGACCACAAATTATAAAACGAACTAACGGTTGAACATTATATGCAAGAAATATTTGCTTATAGTTTTTTTCATCCTAGATTCTTTAATTTTAAATGTTAATACGTTAATCATTCAACACTTACTTTGTTGGCCATATAGATGGCAATCAAACCAAACGGCCAGCAACAACAGCAACATACAAAAATGGCTAAGCAAAGGTAATCGGAATTGTCTGGTGGATTTTCATCTATCCACTGTCTCTATAAAATCAAAATATGCCATAGAAGATAAAAAAACCAAGGTAAACATGGCAAACAAAGGTTAAGAAATTTGAGGGAATCACATGAACTCCATAAGGAGCAAGACCGGATTCGTCAAAATGGTCAGCGTCTATTGATATGCATGCATCATCCGCCATACGAAGTCACACTCAGTGAGAATAACAAAATCATGAAAACGACACAATCGGAAAATTCATACGAAATTTCTGTTATCGAAAGTTCTAAACGCGCGAAAATATGTCGCGAGAGAGTTGAAACACAGACGCATCGTATCGGTCAACCAATTCATGGTGGTGACTGAAAACCTTTGCTCATGAATTCCGTATAGTGTGAACATGCCGTTATCATGATGATATTTTTTCGTTAAATTATCAAGAACTCTCTAAATATACTGCCGAAATTTACCAACAGCAACTTACTTTAAATAAATCAAATATTAACAGCAATAAGTCTCCTTTCCTAGATTTACATATTTCAGTTTTACACCAGAAACTCTACACAAAAATTTACCTCAAAAGGGGTGATTTTTTTTCCTATTGTTAATTTTCCTTTTTTTAGGACAGTGATGTTCCTGTGGCACCATCTTACGATGTTTACATAGTCCAACTCGTTCGGTATGCCCGTGTCTGTAGTGACGTTTAGACTTTCAATGAGCGGAATCTATGTATTACTGGTAAATTATTAAGTTAGGGATGTCGTTGCTACAAAAGAGGGACGAAAGATACCAGAGGGACAGTCAAACTCATAGATCGAAAACAAACTGACAACGCCATGGCCAAAAGTAAAAAGACAAACAGACAAATAATAGTACAGATGACACAACATAGAAAACTATAGACTAAGCAACACGAACCCCACCAAAAACTGGGGGTGATCTCAGGTGCTCTGTACCTGTGAAAAACTTATATCAGAGGGAATTGCACATCTTTAATTTTACGGTGATGTTGTTAACCGAGCCCGGAAATTTATATTCGATCCGGATAAACTCATCAATTCTTTAGATAAACTTATTTTAAAAGGTAATCGATTCAACACTGTAATTAGATCTTTGAATATTGTTTTTATTGGTATAAATATTGATTTCGTTATCAGTAAATTAAAATCATACTTAATAGTTTTGTTATACACATATGCACTTTAGCAGTACCACAATCAGTCGATACCTTTATTTTGGCATTACACAAGGTCATGTTTTCCCTGACTGTAAATGACGTCTTTACACTAAATCCATTGGATGTTGGATGTGTACTTATTGATATTTTAGTCTTAGATAAATGATTTTTTTATTGGTTGTTATTGGCTTTTGAACTAGCTGTCAGTAACTGTGAGTACTCTTAGATCTGTACTTAGCGTCATTTTTGTTGTTAGGGATGAGGGATGGTTAAATACCGTGCAACGTCCGGTTTGTATTTATGTTTGATGTTCTTCTGCTTTGTATCGAGCTGGTGAGTTAAGCCTTTTTCAACTGATATTTATAGTTTGTTCTTATGATGTGCTGTAACATCATTGTCCAAGGTTCGGGGCGGGTTGGACGCTCACAATTATGTTTCACCTCGCCACAATCAATATGTGCCTGTCCCAAGTCAGGAGCCTGTAGTTCAGTGGTTGTCGTTGGTTCATGTCTGCCATATTTGTTTTTCGTTAATTGTTTTGTTATAAATTATGACGTTAGTTTTCTTCATTGAATTATTTCCTATTTTGCATGTCGGGGCCTTTCATAGCTGACTATACGGTATGGTTTTTTCTCATTGTTAAAGGCCGTAGTGTTGCCTATAATTGCTTACATCCACTTTATTTGAACATTTTTTTGGATATTTGTCTCATTGGCAATCATACCTCATCTGCTTATTTTTATACGGTCGTAGGGTATTAATTGAGATATGTCATCACCATGCGATTGGAGTAGAGGGTAGGTTCATACTAAAAGATTGAAAATTGACGATTTGAAAGATGAAATCATAACGTTTGTCATTGATAATAGTCGTAAATCTATATCGATGAATAGATTAAGATATGAAACATATCTTACAGTTTCGACACTATCCCTAATCTGAAAATCACTGGCTATATGAGACGCAAGCATGTCCTAAAATGTGGGTAATTGGGTGAAAGGATACAATCAATATAACTGAAAGTGAAATAAAAGTACTTTGCATGACACTTTTTCTTTTTGTCTTTGGAAATTTTTTGTATGAAATCTTTATCATATGAGTACAAAACCAAGTCTGCCAGTAGGAGGACACAATTAGTACCCATTGAAATATCGACTGTCTGTTTAAATAGAAATCCACTAAATTCAATCACAAGGCTATCATTCGGTATATCGAGAAAAATTATCGTGAAAGAACCCCTAACGGTGGTCCAGCATTGCGATCGGATCGTGAATGTAGTTAATTGTAATTCTACTTCAAAATCTGTGAAAAATCTGCTGTATTTTCGAAACGCGGAACAAATCCGAAAAAAAAAATATTATGTCTGTCAAAATGATTTAAATTTCTCAATAATACTGTGCAATAAGATAAAGAAAATATGCAGTACTATAAGAGAAAACACAAAAGGCGCAACACAAGTCTATGGAATTAATAAAAACAAAAAAACACGTTTTCTACCTATAATGGTCACATTCCAATATATAATGATATATCTTAATTTGAATCTTTGGTGTGTCAGATAGTACAGTAAAATAAACATTTTTTTCCTTGAAACCATTCTTTTTGTTTTTCAAAACATTAAATGTTGTTGATTTTTCATCAAAATTGATCGTGAAAGATCGGGCAACGCATTATCTTGATCGGGAAAGACAAGGCGTGACCAGACGGACGCATGATGTTTGCGCCTTTTTACTTGTAACACTAAAGGACATTTGCGCTTCAAAAACTAAAGACATTTGCGCTTTAAAATTTGATACACCTGTACAAAATTGATAAGACATTTTCGCTTTTTACCTATTGTTGTTTCCCTGTAATCTTTAGAAAATTTACCAAAGTCTTGGAAAGATGTTTACATATTCTTTCAAAGTTCTTTTGAACAAACGATAACATAAGATTTTTTCCGGGTAAACCAGACATATTATAAAAAATATAGTATACGTTTCTGTGTAAACGATAGAGAAAAAGAACATTTTATGGATGAAACATTTGAATTTTGACCGTAATTCTTCAATTAGCTTTCTTATAAGTGTATTTAAAATTGGAAACTATATTCCTCTTGTGGCCACTCTGTTGCATGAATAGCCCGAGAAACTGTACCATCATAGTTTATCTAAGCTTGTTTCAATTAGTGAAGACCGAAATTTTATTTTTTTAAACCACCTGCTGTACTTGTTGACTTTTAGAAAGAGTCATGGTTGTTATAAGGAAACTCCCATCCACCCTCTTGGAGGGTTGTCTTTTTCATCTGACACAAGCATGATGGGGAAAGGTTGATGTTTTTAGCTGTATATAAATATATGAATGTTTCGTTGTGTTTTTTTATATTAAATGATTTTTTATGATATGTTGATAAAACGCAAATGTCCAATTGAAAAAAACGCAAATGTACATGTCCTTTTTTAAAAAGCGCAAATATACTAAAAATTAAAATGAAATGTTTATTTAAAAAAAAGCAATTGTCCTACCAAAAAGCGCAAACGTCCCGCGCCGGACTAGACTTAATAATCAGAAAACAATATTTCTTTTACCAATTGATATACTTACAACTAGTTGAAGCGTGCTATCATTTTAATAAGAACGAACATTAATGCCTTAAATTTTTTTTTACTATTTTTTATTTCAACACTTTTCCTTAAGAGTTATTTAATTAACTAAAAACGTGACTAGATAAGTAGATTTACAAAATAAAAGTACCTTCTGGAGCGTTAATTGTCGAAAAGTAAAAGTATATATGTTTCTATAATGCATTCTCCCTGAAAATATATGCATGTGTACGCATTTTTTTTGGTGTAAGGATTGTTACCTTTAGTTATATGGATTGCCGTTCGTGCGTACATAGTATGACAATATTGGCTAATTTATTGTTTATTTTGTGGCTGCGCTTACATAAACTAAAAAAGGTACTACGATAACGTTATTTTGATTGTTTGATCATTCTGTTCACAATAGCTATACGTCATTTTACCCAACTTAGTGGGTAAATAACCAATCATCGTACCTCGATTGTGCATTATGTCCAGCTTGAACTTTAGTCGATTCAGTCGATTAAGTTCTATTCTCAATCTTGAATTTGTATAAGAAATCAAAACTTATGATGAACGGACAAATAGACTGATATTGCTATAAGGCACCTAGTCGGTGTGGTATTATAAGATAATCAGATCCAATGGCATTGAACAATTATAGCACTATTCACCAACAAAAGAGAACCGGAGTGAGTCATGCAAATCCAGTATTTGCTATACCAATTAAAAATTTGAATTATCCTATAATTAAATAATGGTTTGAACGTTTCCATAGCATCAAATCTTTCACGATCCTTTTCACGATCTTCAAAAAGCGGTACGCGATCTTTCACGATCCGAAAAATCATTTTTTTGTAAATATTTCATTTTTTGCAACATTTCTAATTATGCTAACACAAATTACCTTTAAGAACTATTTGAATCATTAAAATAGAATGACATATTACAAAGAAAAGTTGTTTAGTCATTCGAATTATGAAAAAAATCTTGTTTGTTTACATATTTAATGTCATTGAAATGTCAAGGAGCAATCTGCCTTTTGTAGTTTTGTAATAACGGTGTACTTTTAAACCTTGATTTTTCTCAGATACTGACCATAATGTTGAACCATTTAGACAGACAGTTTTATTTTTTTGTAAATTTTTTCGTATAATTCATTAGATTAGATTAGTTATTGACCTTGAATATGTCTTCTCGATAAGATTTCATTCACGATCCTATACCAGAGCTTTTACGATCCAAACGCAATACTTGACCACCGTTAGGTGTTCTTTCACAATCATTTTTCTCGATATATCAAATGACACCCGTGAACTAAAGAGTTGTTGACAAAAAGTCCAGCATTTTGATTATAATGAAAACAACACGTTAAAAATAGAAAAATCTTGACCCGGCTATATATATCGTTCTTTATATGGATTTATTTGATGTTAAGGTATCCAGTATAAAGAAGGCAGATTTCCATTGTTTTCATGTATTTTTAATTACAAAGGATGTAAATCATCAAAAGTGCCGAATTAAACAAGACAGACAAATTAAAGTCATTCGTTCAAACGTTAACGGACACAAAGATGACTTGGTTTATAGTTATCAATATCTGTGTCGCAGATGTCCACGATAACATTTTAATTGTCGTCCCACAATATCGTCCTTTTTCCTCGATTATGACATCATCGTATGAGACTTATCACCGATTTTCTACTAAAAATGAGCTACGCGACTGTGAAAACACTTCCGGAAAACACCATGAATTTAAACCAACAGGAAACACAAAAATGAAAACTTTATGTTGAACAAAAGAAACGTCGATAGAACCTGAAATGACATTTTATACTATTCAATATTGGCTTTAGTAGATTCGTTACTTTATACTCATCTATATCTATTTTACATGATGGGGACTGGGGTTCCTGATTTCCATCCCCTTAATTCCATACGAAAATCAGTCAAAAAACTTTTCCAGCATATCCTTATTTTACTCCCCTACTTCAACTGGTTCCCATCCACTGACTCGCACTTCCCTCCCGCTGACTACTACTTCCCGCCCCTGTTCCCTTACATCAGTCATCCCCTCTTACATACAAATCACTTACTTTGGCGGTAGAAATCTTTACAGTTTGATTCTCAGATACACATGGATCGATAGAAGTTGATGACGTTGGTTGATCTACATTTACTGGAACGCTATTGTATGTTGGCGAAATATCTGTTACAACACACATAGGGTCAACTGATGTATATTGAGGTGGTGTATCTACTTCAGGATTTACCATTGATGTAACTATGTTGTAGACAGAAGAAGATTCAGGTTTGGTAAACTGTTGATTTTCCAGTAAAGTATGTGACGGTTGTTTGTCGCCATCTTCTTCGTGATATGTTGGTGAATTATCAGGTTCATCTGTCTGGACTTCGGTTGTTGGATATGACTGGGACCGATGTTCATTCAGAGGAATGTGACTGTAGGTTGAAGACTGAGCTACAAAAATTAAATTTATAATAACAAGTAAGAGTCTCACGCATTAAGAGGATTATAATGGGTACAACAAAAACCAAGTAAAATTTAGCAACAAAGTCGAAAAGTGATTTTGAATGACACAGAAATATTTTAGAAGCACAATAAAGATATTTTACATACATTTTAGTTTTGATTATGCCCACTATATGCATATTTATTGACTGAGTGATTATTGGTGATTAACATTTCTTTATTTCAGCAACCCTGACTATTTCATGGTGGTTAGTTTGTATTGGTGGAGTATACTTACCAGGATAGAACCACCTACTTTTGGTAATAAAACTTGTAATCCTAGATAACTAATATCGGAGTCGAACAAACAATCCAAGAGTGAGGTTCGATATCAGCACCTCAGTGTTGACATGCTAGTGTTTACTGTAGATGAACTACTTAGACTACTTTACAGCCGAGCTTTTCCCTACATTCAGTCTATTTAATTTAATCACGGTACATTGTCCAGATATTCATGATAAAGGCACATCATGTGGTGGGGTTAACTAGGTTTAAAGTGCGCAAAAACCTCACCAATTGCCTATCTAGACTGTCAACTTAGGCCTATGACTACAGTTGGCGTTATGATAAATATCCAACTGATATAAGGAATTGTATTCCTGGATACACTATCATGATAAATGGTAAATTGACAAGAAAAAAAAAACTAACATTAATAGCTCATTAAATGTACTTTCATTTACCTGCTTCAAACACTTACATTAGTGTAAACGCCAAACGAAAAATCACTTGAAAATTGTAATGGTATATCATCAACTAACCATATGTATATGAGATTAAAGTGATTATTTATTCTTCAATAAATCAACCATATAACAAGCATGGATTTGTCTTTCTCAATTTTACCTCCCCCGACCCTTTACAGCCATGTAAACTATTGTTCTCACTTGTCATATGTAGACTCGATTAATTGTTAAAAACATCTCATCTGAAACAACTGGTTTTAAAACAAACTTGGCATCCATGTTTTCTAGTGTATTTAGTATAACGATATGATTTTGGCCAAAAACAAATCATAAAGTTGGATATGTGAGAATATCTAATATCTGGAATCATTGTAGGGGTTATTGGGCGTGACTAAAGATTTTACCAATATAATCACTATAAAAAAAACTGTTGACAGCAAATATTATCAGGACTACTAGATCTACAAAAAAATTTCATGACTGAAATCATCAAATGTCTCCTTATAAGACTTTTGTCCTTAAATAACGATGATTAGCCAATTTCTACGTTTTAGAATTTAACATTGAAAGCACTAATTTATATATATAGATAGAACCGTAACAGCAAAATTATCCACAATTAAAGATTAACACAAAGGCCAAAATATGACTGAAAAAAATAGGTGTCTCCTTAAAGCAAATAGTTCTTTTTAATGTCGACTGTGTGACCATTTCATTATTATCATGAACTACTGTATAAATAAGAAAATAAAAGAAAGTATGGGTATAAGTCAAACTGACACCAACCAGCAACAAAAAGTCCAACATCTGACACGTTCTATAGCACATACGATTCCAGAAAAATAAGAAAAGCAAAAAATAATTGAACAAAGACTTTCTAATATGATATCAATACCAACTCCCATACTGATACAAGCATATTAAGAATTGACAAACGACAACCGCTAATGTAGTCCCAGATAGTCCTAACAGCATTCCAACGTCTACAAAATGCCTATATAACTGGCTCCTTATTGAAATTATTTCCTTCGCATGTTAGCACTTTACAAATTGATACATGCATAGCAAAAACAGCTTACGCTTTCGATAGACCCTGTCTCGCTCAATTTTGAGATTTCAGATAGACAATCTTTTTAAGCAGGATAAATGATCAACTAACAAGATATACAAATACGATACATAAACGAAATTAATTGTTGACTGGTTTATTAGAGTTTTACTCAATTTTTGTTTAAAAGATCGAAGGTAATGACTCAAATAAGATATATCTACTATAGAGACTCGGTGGACATTGTTTGTAGAATTGATAAAAAAGTATATCAAGTTGTGTGGGTATATTCGAATGACCTTTAAAAGAAGATCTGGTTTAATATCACCTGTCACCTATAAAAGTTGGATACTTATACGTCCGTCATCGACGAGACTTATTATGATATACCGTAGTTCGAAAGTTCGAATGGATTCCAATAGGTCGAATGATAACTCAAATTTGCTAAACCCAATTCTATAAAATGTCAACAAATCTTAAGAATTAACGGAGGAAAGCTCTCTTTTGATTCTATTTTTTTTTTGGCTAGTCGTATTTCACATTCTAATTCTAGTTTGGTTTGATTAATTTATTCAAAACTGTATGCTATTGATTTGATTGATAAAAGAAAGCTCGATTTTCATTTTTTATTTTCGTTCCAGAGTTATGGGACTTTTACCGTCAAATATAAGGCAGTTTTCCACGTATTGTACACTTACTAGAGTATGCTTAGCATTATTTGATCAAAACTTTATTCTGTTTTTTGGCATTGATTAAAGAAAATTCTCTTTCGATTTTAAATATTTTCTGGTATATCTGTTTAGAGTATCAGGACTTTAACTGACAGAGTAAGGTAAATTGTTCATATGTTATACAATAAATTTGGTAAACTTGGATAGATTTATTTGAACTTGATACAGTTATTGGTATGGTAAAGGTAAAGTACATTCTTGTTTAGAACTATGGGATTTTAACTCCATATTTAAGGTTTATTTTTTTCACATGACACGCAGTAAAACTCTTGTATGTTTGGTTCTAATAGCTACAAACAAACTTTACACTGTTGTTTGGATTTATAATTCCAGTTGCATCATTCCACATTTTTACCTTTTTTCAAAAACAACAACACAATTTAAACTGTAAGGAAGAAACTATTAGCCGACATCATCTATTTTCTGATCGTTTATGCCCCACCCCCTTGACATACACGGAATTTTCTAAAGAGTTCTTATGGATCGCCTAAATTCACGGATCTTTACGGTTTGGTTACTTTAATGACCGATTTAAGAATTGTTGTGAGTTATTACGAGCCATTTTCGGTTTATTACGTATAATTACGTATAATTACGAGTTATTACGATGTGTTTACTGTAAAACTCCACAATTTGTTACGAGTTGTCACGGATAACTAAGAGCATCTTACGGGCCTTTTACGGGTTGTTACTAATATATTACGGAATGTTACATTTCATCAACCCTTTTACGTGCTGGTTACGACCTGTTTACGTGTTGATAAGAATAGTTACGAGTAAGTAACGAGTATTTTCGAGTCCTTACGATTTTGCAGCTTTTATGCTCCCTCAAATCGTAAACTAATACGTAAGAATTCGTAACGAATACATATCTATTCGTTAAGTATTTGATACTACACGTAAAATGCTCTTAATCACTCATAAAGTAAACACATTGATACACGACCATAATGAAATCGTAAGCAACACGTAAGCACTTGTAATAATCCATAAATAATCCGTAAACAAAACGTAAAATAATCGCAACAAATCGTTGAAAAAGATTGTGACAAGTCATTAACGGATTCGGTTGAGCAGTTTACAGATGGTAATGTGTTGTTGCGAGCCGTTTATGAGCAATTTACTTACGGATTGTTACAAGTAATTTCCGACAATCGTAAAAATTATTCAAAATTTGTTTTCTCCTTTCACGGATCCTTAAGAGTGTTTGCGAGTTATTGCGATGTGTGACGAGATATTTACGGATATCAACGAGTTACTATCGGATGTTTGCGATTGACAACGAGTTGGCGATTTAAACGGAAGAGTAAGTATATTCTGTGTTTGTGAAGGTGGTATAATATATACCGGTTAAACGTATGTAAAAATATTGTAGAATACCCAAACAAGATTGGTCATTTCGAGAAAAATAATCTATTTAGTAATATAAATAGGGATAATGGGCAATTCTCAGAGGATTTAGGGGAGGCAGAGTGCCCGGCACCTCCTTTTGTGGGAAAAATTTGGTTGATTATATAGGGAATCACTGAAGCATGACTGGAGCGGGTCTCCTCTTAGGCAGTCAGTGGGCACCCCCTCATGGAAATTATTAGATCCGCCATTGCAGTTTCTACCGTATGACAATAAAACTTTTCTTCTTTATAATCTTGCTTAAGTCGATGTTTTACCAGTTTCTCCATTTTGCATCAAGATTTGTAGTATGAAACAAGGAGCTAGCTGATGAAGTATAAAAAGTCACTTACCTAATGTATCACTGCAAATAAATTATTAGAAAAATATTTACCCATTATCCCAATATGTTTACGTCAAGCTAGTTAACAAGTAGAGGAAGTGGACAGAAATACCCTTTCTTGTGGTTAAAGATATATTAACATAATTCTATTCGACAAGAAAATATTTCTATCCTATCTGGCGGTAAAACATAAATTTACATAATTTCATACAATAAAATTTGTTTTGTTCACCCTCCTGACCCGAATATGTGATATTTCCCTTTTATACAGACAAGATTTTTGTGAATGGTTTGTTTTCAATAGGCTTTTATACTAACCTATCATTCTAATTTCTAATGCTTTTTCCGTGACTTCCGTGTTTAAACATCATTGATTGATATTATTTAACAAAACAGGGATATGTTACCTTGTGCACTTGCATTTTATTTAAAATATTAAAAATTCAATGATCACAATACGACAAATAACGAAGACCGACTGTTATAAATCAGTAGTTTCGGGTATATTTTGACAAGATCGTTGTTCATTTATTGGGAATTTTGATCAAATTTTGCAAACTGTATTTTGAAACAAATGTCTTTTTTAATGATGACCTCTTTCGAGTTGTTGTAAATTGTTCATGTTAAAATGCTTTTTTTTCAAATAGATTCATTAGTTAATTCGACTTTTTTTGTTCACTTGGTCCAGTGTAAGCTCTTGTCATTACTTGGCGTCCATCGTCTGTCGTCGTCTGTCGTCGTCGTTGTCCGTCGTCTGTAACTTTTACAAAGAACATCTCCTCTGAAACTACTCGGCCAAATTTCACCAAACTTAGGCACAGTCATCAATGAAGTATCTAGTTTAAATAATTTGATTGATTATCTCGCTTGCTAAAAAAATGGCCGACATGCTAAAAAAAGAACATATGGGTAAAATGAAATATTCAAAATTGAGAATGGAAATGGGGAATGTGTCAAAGAGACAACAACCCGACCAAAAAACAGAAAACAGCCAAAGGCCACCAATTGGTCTTCAACACAGCGAAAAAGATATTTGCCTATTATCTTGAAAACCGCTATAGATAGAGAAAATCTGACATGGACAAAAATGTTAAGAATGATGAGATCTACCATATGCATAAATATATATCAATACTGTTACACGACTTTAATAAGAGTTATAGCCCTAAACGACGAATTTTACCATTATTTGTTTTTTTCATTTTTGCCTTTCATCTTGTAACTCGAATAATTTCAGCGCCCTCTATCACCGAAAGTTTCTCGAGAATGGAATGGTCGTAGTAAACGCATTTTATCGAATGGACTATTCGGTTCAATTATCTTGGAAATTATAATAGACAGAGACACACTTTTAATACTAAAATTAAATTAGGAAGACAAGATCTACAAATAAATCAACATTGTTAAAATCGTAAGTCAACACCTTATTGAAGTTATTACCTTTTAATGGCGAGCTTGACCTATTTTTTTTTTTTTTAAATTTGCCTATTATCTTGAAAACTACAAAATGTATAATAGACAGATATAAACTTGAAGTAGCAAAAATCATCAGCAAGACTAGAATTACATGCACAAATAAGTCAGTATGGCCTTAATCGTTAATCGACTCCTTATTGAAGTCATTGCTCCTTAATGACGATTTTTTCCCAATTTTGCTTTTTTTGGTATTTTCTTGAAAATATGATAGATAGATAGAAACTTTAAATTGCAAAAAAATATAAGGAAGACACGATCTACACATTAGGCATCATTGCTGAAATCTTCAGTCGACCCTTTATTAGTGTTATTGACCTTTGATAATAATTTTTAACATTTTTTTGCGTTGGTTCCCTTTTATCTGGATCACTTTAAAAAGGAAAAGTGATAAGCAGGATAAGATCTACAAATACGCCAAAATGACTGAAATGATCAGTTAATTCTTAATATATTCATTCTACATAGGAAAATGCTTGTACATGTACCAAGTCAGGAATGTGACAGTTGTTTTCCATTCGTTTGATGTGTTTAAGCTTTTGGTTTTGCCAATTGTTAATGGACTTTCCGTTTTGAATTTTCCTTGGAGTTCGGTATTTTTGTTGTTTTACTGTTTTCTCCTTTAATGATGATTTCTACCAAAAAGTGACCATTGTTTAAGATGCAGGTGCGCGATACAGGCTCTTTAAAACCTATACCATTCATTCATTTTGGTTTTTAAGTACTTTTAAAAGTGTTTATCCTACATTTGCAAAGTTATTTTTAAAATTAAATTGACACTTATTCCATAGCTAAGCATGTAGCATTCTTGAGATTGGTCGCGATCACACACCTGCTGATAAGACACCTGTTGATAAGGCACCTGTTTTTACAGCATTGTTAACCTGCCAATATTGCCCCTATGTAGATGAACTTAAGTTGCTTCCCTTTGGACATCAACAGATATGTTGTTGAAAAATGAATAAAAGCTCGAAACTATAAGACTAATTATTTAAGACCACAAGAAATTAAAGGTATTATTTTAAGGCTTAATTAAATCTTGAATTCACTGTTAAAAGTTTTGTCTTTTTTATAGTTCGAAATAAGAATACATAAATTAATTGGGAAAATAATGATGTATTAGTCATGAAATGTGAAATAAAACATTTAGAACTTATAGAAAAAAATTAACTTATATTTTGTGTTGAAATACAATTGCTAGATTATTTTGTTGAAAGATTTTTATTTGAAGACCAATCATGCTGGATAGTTGTCTCATTAGCAATCATATCACATCTTATTATTATAATTCAGTACCGTGCATATCATGAATATAAAAAAAAACACTTATTCTTTATGGCCAATTGAAAACGATGAAAAAGCAGATTCTGGACACATTTCAACAATTACAATTTTCGAAAATCTCAGGTTTATCACGACAACGACAAAAAAGTGCAATATAATTGAGCCATTCCATTAATGTTTTGAGAATAAAAAGTCTCTCCCACTGTCACTTTCGTTTAAGTTCCACCTGCAGATTATGACAAATGCCTTTTTTTTTATTGTTTTGAACTGTTTGTTCTGTTGATTGTATATATAGAAAGGTAACACTAGGCCACCTAAAGATGAATTTTTAGTTCAGTCTAGGTGGCCGAGATGTCTAGAGCGATGGACACAGTGCAGGCGGTGTTGTCTCGATATTCCAATAGCATGAGTTCGAATCCCGGCAAGGGAAGAACAAAAGTTTGCTTCCGCAAATTTGCAGATTAAACATTGTTGTGCTGATATTTAGAGTAGTTATGAATATAAAATGTGTTTTTAGCCGTGTATTACATTCACTGGTGATCCAACGGAGTTCTCACTTGTTTAGACGTACTTATCAAAATAATTATTTTTGTGACTGTATCATACGATTCTATACGATAGATATTTTACTAATCTGCAATCAATTCCATCTTCATGTTACAACTCTAGATTCTACTGACGAGGAAGGTAACACTGGGCCACCGAAAGCTGAATTTTTAGTTCAGTCTACGTGGCCGAGTGGTCTAGAGCAATGGACACAGTGTAATCGGTGTTGTCTCGATATCCCAATAGCATGAGTTCGAATCCCAGCGAGGGAAGAACAAAAATTTGCTTCCGCAAATTTATATTTAACATTGTTGTGCTGATATTTAGAGTAGTTATGAATATAAAATGTGTTTTCAGCCGTGTATCACCTTGAATGGTGATCAAATGGATGGATCTGTCGTAGAGTTGTCACTTGTTTAGACGTACTTTACAAAATATTTATTTTTGTGACTGTATCATACGATCCTTTACGATAGATATTTAGCTAATCTGTAATCAATTCCATCTTCATGCCTAATATATCATGTACTGTGTTACAACTCTAGATTCTACTGACGAGGAAAGGTAACACTAGGCCACCGAAAGCTGAATTTGTAGTTCAGTCTAGGTGGCCGAGTGGTCTAGAGTGATGGACACAGTGCAGGCGGTGTTGTCTCTATATCCCAATAGCATGAGTTCGAATCCCGGCGAGGGAAGAACAAAAATTTGCTTCCGCAAACTTGCAGATTTAACATTGTTGTGCTGATTTTTATAGTAGTTATATATATATATATAGGGTTTAAGAACATCCGTTGTTCGAACTGCTTGTCAAATGCGTTTTGTTAAAATATACTTTTTCTCTTTTTTGGTCGTTTGGAAAATATTGTTTTTGCTGTTTTTAGACCCCTCTACCAAGAAATTTGTTTTGCATGCAGACGTATAAAAATCGCGGTTTTTATCCAACGCAATCATAGTTTTGAACGTTGTTTTCAATCTAGACTTGTTTATATTTTTTCGTTTGGGCTTGTTTTATATTTGCCTTCGGGTTTATATAATCCGTTCATCCTATTTCGACTCTTCAAAAAACAAGAGTCAATCCTAAATTGAGGTAAATTGTATTGCCTTTCAAATATCGTTTCGATTCCTAGCATCACTGAAGAGACATTAATTGTCGAAATCCGGATATGGTGTACACATTTTTGCACCTCATGTTTGCGGTATACCATCTTTTCCGCAAGTTTATTGTTTTCTGTTTGGTATTAAATTAATAATTAAGATCCCATTTGTTACAACTAGTGATTCGTTTATTTGTCAATCGCCATGGCAGTCGGCAGGGTCTAAGAACACCCGTTATTCGACCTGCTAGTCAAATCCGTTTTGTTAAAATATACTTTTTCACATTTTTGGTCTTATGGAAAATGTTATTTGTACTGTATTTACACCCCTCTACCAAGAAATTTGTTTTGCATGCACACGTAAAAAAATTGCGGTTTTTATCCAAGGCAATCATAGGTTTGAACGTTGTTTTCAATTTAGACTTGTTTATATTTTTTTGTTAGGGCTTGTATTATATTTGCCTTCGTGTTTATATGATCCGTTCATCCTATTTTGACTCTTCAAAATTCAAGAGTCAATCCCAAATTGAGGTAAATTATATGGCCTTCCAAATACCGTTTCGATTTCTAACATCACTGAAGAGACATTTATTGTCGAAATCTGGATATGGTGTACAAATTTTTGCACCTTATGTTTGCGGTATACCATCTTTTCCGCAAGTTTATTGTTTTCTGTTTGGTATATTATTAATAAATTAAGATCCATTTTTACATCTGTTGATCTGTTTATTTGGCAATCGCCATGGCAGTCAGCAGGGTTTAAAA